CCCCCCCTTCCCATCGAATCCTTCACAATTATTTACGATAGACGTCAGTATACATGGGATCGTCCTCGCGATATGGCGGATCGACGGATTGTCGCTGTAAATGAGGTACAAATTTGTTACTTTATTCTTACATGCTACGTATTGTCGTCTTTTATTCGATATCTTTTAATTCATCTGCTTCTATCATTGCATATCTCACTTTTAATGTATTGAATACTATAAAAGAATATACTTCGTATACTCGTGTTTTATGCATACCTCGCTAATATTCGATGTACACGTTTATCATATACATATATCTTACTAAAAAAAAATCATTATGTTTTATTGGAATAAATTCTTTCTCTTAAAAGCTTTATTTATTCATTCCAGGTATGAAAGTGTAGTGGTAGAACGTTTTACCGCGTAAAAGGACGCCATTGCTTTCGATTATCGAAATCGTTTAGATAGTATCGATTTTTTTGCGAGAGTGATACCGGGTATACTCGTTTGGAACAGTAAACGTTAGTTTTTTAAAATATGCGGGCGTGGCAGCGCGAGAACAATGTGGTTATAGGAAAATTAGAATTTTTTATAATTATAGTCCTTTATTGAATTGTGTTTTATTCGCGTATAACGTGATTATAGAGTCAGTGCGTGTTAGAATATAAAATTTGCTTAGAGTATACAAAAACATAAAGTCAAAGATATTACGCAGTTCCAGTTTCCCGATACAAGGCCGTTTTTGTTTGCATTTCTGTTTCTAATTGAAAGTGACTGTATTTTGAACACGATATCTCGGTCGCGTTAGCTTTTTTTCGTCTTATGGTGTCTGTGTTGCTATTCGAGTGAGTGAAAATTACCACGACCAAGAATATTCTCGACGATTTGGACGACAATAAAAATGTATGTATATCATCATGCTTTATTAATTGTAATTACATGCTATGTAATCATATAAATGAAATCGATTTACTGTAGTAATATTCCGATTCAAACATTCCAAGTGACTTTTTAAGAGCAATATTGCCAAGTATTATTTGAGATTTCATATATTTTTTATATAAGCTATTACTAATAATTTTCGCTATAAGACTTATACAATTATTGATTCCTTTCACTTTCAGGCATCTTTGGGTATGATACAACAAATGTAGAACCGGAAGTGATACCAGGAAATTCCGGATATTCAACGATCGGTGAGTCACGAATTTTATGTGTTAATATGTATATTATGTTCTTTCTGTATTACACATATACAGGATGTAAGAAAATTATTGATAGAAACTCCATTATAACAAACGCTTATTCTATGAAATATGAATATACATATACCTATTGATTAAGTATTAAATTAGTGGTTAATTAATTTTATCTATAAAATATCTCATATCTCAATCTTTACGTATACCTATAATTCTACAGGTTTATTATTATATATATGTCGGAGTCAGATTGGCATTTTGGGGCGTTCGATGAACCTTTACTTACTTTACCGTCGCGAATTCAGCTAATATTTATCAGTACGAATGTGGACACTACAAGAGGCTATGAGTAATGGCAATAGGATGGTCAAGATGATGGTGACAACGAATTCAGGTTCGATAACGAATCCACGGTCCACGGGAGGACAAGTATCAACGTACTACCCGATTCGAGTAATTTCTCGGTAACTCGTCCAACGACTAACTAACAAACTGACTCCCCTAATCCAAAAGAAGCTGCCCTTATATACTTCTGTGCCCACTTCTCGGGTCAATTTTTGTTTTTAAGGAGAGCCATAGAATCATTTCGTACCTCTGTCAGGTACGTGTCCCTCCCGTGACCGTGGCTACGTCCAGTGACCCGCCATGTCACTTCGAGCCCAAACCCATCGTTATAAAGTCCAATTGGAACATTAAGACTATTTCTTATTTTTATTACTTAAGGGCGGCTATAGTAAAAGTGTAGACTAGTGTATTGGGGGTTTTTCCAACATTCCGGACGGGAAATCCCGCTGTCTTTCCATCTCCGACATATAATTATAGTATTAAATATTCTTTAATTACATTTCATATTGTAATTCGTAATTTCTGTATTTTTATTTGTGAAATATTTTCGAAATTTTCTTACATATAGTGATGTATAAAGTATCATCAACACTTCACTGTATTCCAGAGAGTAGAACTAACACATTCTTCCTTATCATATTGGCGTACAAAGTTGCGTTAACTTGCGAAACAATTTGGCGTCTCTCTCAGAATACTATAGCGTTTATGTGCGTTAATATTTCAATATTTTTTATAAGGACATCTTCCGTGTAACTTTCGTACATTCTCAGAGGCACTTCTTAACTCGTATATATACTCCATGTATGTAACAATCGAGCGTGTAATGCGTTTCACGCGTATGTAAGAGGAAAATCGCGTAGTATTCCACACTATGCATCGTCATATTGCACCCGGTAATTGGCTAGCATTGTTTATCCTTTAAAGGATAAATATCATGCGGAACATTTATGCGAACTTCTAGGAATTCAGTCACAAAAATTTCTTAGCCTTTAGTATTTAGTCTTCCGGGTTTGGTATTGCCCTCTTGAATCAATTTTTAATATATTTCACACGTTTGCAATAACTATGTGATATCCATATGATGTGAAACAAAGATTCATAAAAACTCCATGATAAAAAATTATAGGTACTATAACTTTCCACTATAAATATCATTTTTGAATATATTCAAGAATTGCAAATACTTTCCAATCATGCAGAATATAATATACTATAGAATCAATTTCAGACATTTTTTAATATACTCAAACATTCCAAAAATTTCTTGTATGTAGAGTAAAATGTAGAGTATAATATAGAACTAATTCCATATATTCTTCAATATACTTAATAAATTAAAAAACTTTCCGACCACATAAATTAACATAGAATGTAATACAAAACCTATTGCAGACATTTTTCAATGTATTCGACAACTTCAAAAATTTCTCTACCATACAGAATATAGCGTAGAACCACTTCTACACATTCTCTAGTATGCTCAACGATTTAAAGAACTTCGTAGAATATAATATAGAATCAATGTAATATATGCAAAAATTCTAAAAACTTCCCATTTTATAGTGCTATGGACTATTGCTAAAAATGCGTATTCTCGTTTCAACGATATCAATGGAGTTAGCGTGGACAGATTTATCGCACCTGTTCCGATGCTTTCACCTAAGCTTTACCTCGTATTCCTCGTCGTCTCAAACTATGTTACTTCGATAAACTGGAGGATTGCAACGAGTTCAATGGCAGAAAGACGACGATATAATACTATACGAAGAAGAAGAGAAGAGCAAGGGGTGGGAAAGAAGAGTCTCTGTTTATCAGCCGTCTCTCAGGAGATATTTGAAAGATGCAACGATCGTTCGTGTAATTGGACGGCATTGTTTGTTCATGGCTGACGGAGTACGTTAACATTCTTTGTTGCGGATGATTGGTGTGCTTTCACCTATACTTCGGCAACGTGCTCATTGTCTTAAGCGTCTCGGGGCTGGTTTTCCTCGCCGCTGCGATCATCGAACGACAACGTTCCCTGTTATTAGACGAGAGCTTATCGGTCCACGGGGAAACTGGCCGATTTCTCATAATTAGGTGAAACGCGAAAAATCCTTTTTATCACCGATTTCCGTCGAGATTTTCGTTCGACTTTCGTAGAACAAGAGGTCATCGTTAGAGAAAACAGTTTTAGGTTTATTGGGTCCATTGGAATGTCCAGTCGTTTACGGACCTAGTTATTATATATATTATACAGTACTGTGCAAACGTCTTAGGTCGTCTACGATAGCGATCTCGTAACAGCAACTATATAATTATACTTTTAGGAAATATTCCCACACGGTGTTATATAGAAACGAATCTTTAGATATTTCTTTTATAATTCAAATAGATTTGTAAGACAGGCATTTTTTCCCCTTAGTTCATACATTTTTTAGAAGAATTTCGTTACTAAATTAGAGCCCTAAATTAAAAAAAAAACAGTTTGTTTTTTTATTTTATTCATTTAAAACTACCACAGACATTTTAGAATTTCTTAGTAGTTTTGATGTACAAAAAATAGATTTTTTCTTCAAGATGAACCTGCTGTAAGAGATCAAATGCTGGAAGAGGACAAAGTAAATACATAGGAAAGATATTAAGAAGAGAAGAAGAAGATGATGATGAAGAAGAAGAAGGAAAGTTCATCAGCGTATGAAGTCGCCCTTTCGCCAGCGTCTATTTTATTGTTCCGGTCTCGGTGGCGGTTTCTACCCCGCGGCTTCGGATAATGCGATTTCTGCATATTGTTTCGCGTGAGCGGCCATTCTCGCAAAAGCGCCTTTATAAAGAGCGGTCTCGTGGGATCACGATTATATTGTTGCCGCGGTGTGCATACACACGAGGCTCCGCTATCCATTATACCGGCGAATAAAATAGAGATGTATTGTCCTTATATACGCTGCAAGTTGTACGCCTGCGAGCTACACCGGCCATTTATTATTAGTTAAATAAATATATACCGTCGATATACCAGAAGGTTGTCCACTTGCTGGCTCTCGTGCACCAGGAAACGCATAATATCCTCGTTCTCCTCTTTTTTTTCCCCCCTTCGACTCTCCTCTTCTTGATTTCCTTTAACGGTGCACAGAGTTTACCCGTGGACACCGCGTTTCCGCTTCCCGTGATCGTGACGCGGGATCTTTTCCCCTCGGACTTCGTGGTCTGTTTTGACATTTGGTTTTGGTCTATTGATCAATGAACGTGGGCGAAATTATATCCATATGTACTTGGTTTATCGACGTTCATTATAGATAGATATTGATACAGTAACTTAAAGTGACGAATCTTAGATTTTCTAATTTCACACATATTTTAATTTCAACACATATGAAAAGATATTTATTTAAAAGAAAGAAAGCAACTTTTTCTGTCATATCAGTCTGCCTTTCTTTTGCCCTTTTTTCGCATTCATCGTATGGAACAAAAAAAGTTTCTTCATTAACAGTATCATGCTTTTTGCATAGGATTATTCAGTCAACTTTCATATCTTTCCTTCAACAAAGAGTATTTCATACCTCGTCCTTGTGTTTCAAGTGAAACAAGTGTGTCTCTGACGTTACTGAAAAAGGAAGTCGACTTTTATATCCCCAGAGATTTACCGTCAAGCGAAACAAACCATTTCACTCAATATTATTATCATCGTTTTACATCATTCATAAATATAAACCTGTGAAGCATTTAATCAGAGTGTTATAAAATTGTTATTAGTTAGTTAGTTAAGGTGAAATTTCACATTATCCTGTAATTAATATATTTAATAATAATCGAATTATACAAAAATATCACTTCTTTTCTAAGATTGTTTCGTACTTTATATACAACATCCACGTATAACAAAAATCTTACTATTCCTTTGTCAATTTTGACGATCGATCCAACTTCTAATACGAATAATACTAGAAATTTCAAACTTGATCAATAGATAAAGATTACTATTCTTTTTAATATACTTACCATCATGAATTTTCAAATACTTATAACTTTACCTATATTCCTAGATCAATAGACCAAATGCAAACGTCAAAAGACTCAAACTCTCGATACGAACAATATTAGACATTTCAAACTCTATCAAACGATAAAGATTCACATTTTCTCCAATGAATTTATCATTACAAATCTTCAAACATTTCCTCTACACTTCGTATCTTAATAAAATTCTTGCAACAGTAGGAACAAGAACATTCGAATAAAACTGTAACAATCTCACTCGAACAATTTCTATTCTTGTTTTCCAATCATCTTCATATTTGATCATCTTCAATGTTTCAACAAACAATTGTTTCGTTACTCGCTATTCTACTGTATAATCATTTGACACGTATCACTTGCGTGCAATAGCCGCTGAAAAAAACATTTGAATATTTGTTCTTAGCATCGATAACATTGGAAAGTACTGTCGTAACGTTTCTGACTTTTTTCCTGATGGGCGTTAGAGGACTTCCTGCTAACAAGCCGCGACAATAGGAGGCGGCGAAGCAGGTAGCTATAGTGTAGCAGGGATTTAATTACTTTCACCAATGCCACGCAGCCTGGGGAAGTTTAATTAATTTTTTGGTTGGTCGCTCGACCGATCGAAACCGACGATCGCACTCGTTACCGACGCCCGAACTGATCTAACTCGC